AAGAGGGCATAATATGACCTGTCCAATAAAACAAAAGTCCGCCAGCCGCTCATTTTCCCCACGTCCTGTAATAATAGATAGAAAAACCACGATCACACGAGGCTGAGGGGACCGGGGCTCCCTGCCACGGCACCCGCAGGGCCTCCGCCGTGGTGCCCTCGGCACCCCCACGCCGCTGGGGTTCGTGGCTGGGGCTCTGTGTGGGCTGGCTCTGTGTGGCTGGGGCTTCTGTTGGGCTGGGGCTCGTGTGGGCTGGGGTTCTGTGTGGCTGGGGTTCTGTGTGGCTGGGCTCTGGTGGCTGGGGTTTCTGTGTGGACTGGGGCTTGTGGATGGAGCTGCGGATTACTGTTGCTGAGCTGGAGCCTCTGTGCGAAACCACACTTATGCTGCAGACAGAAAACGCAAGAAAACTGCCAACGGAGAAAACGTGAAAAAGTTCAGTATAATATTTTGCTTAATAACTTAAAAAACAGATGTGAAGGATTATTAATAGCAGTATAAAACATTGCATGGCAAATCATATATTATGTTTATACAAAATCCGGTAAGAGAAACATAATTCCTATCATCTGGGATGATTCGTAAAATACACTTTGCTAAAAGCAAATCAACACAGAGTTTCGGATGGAGACGGGCGGGCAGGGGCCGCTGGCAGGGGCCGCGCCAGAGCCACCGCAGAGCTCCCGCTCACACTGGCCTCGGTGGCCGTCAGCTGCTCCACCAGACACGGCGTTACAAGTGATGGGGGCTCCGCCCTCAGCCGAGTTCACAGGTCATCCGGCAGGTCCCCGAGGCCCGCGGCCGAGGGCAGGACGGAGCGCAGAGCAGCGCAGGCACGTGGGCAGGGGCCGGGGGCTGCAGGGAGGACGGGCGCCCCCCGCCCTCACTGGTAGACGACCTTCACACAAAACGTCTCTTCGTTTTTGTCTTCGTGGTCGTTGATGTAAATGAGAATCTCCTCCTCCCCCACGCCCGGACCAGGGGCAAACTGCAGGCCGATCGTGTAGGTCTCTCCTCCTCCGACCTGGAAATGAGCGTCAAAATCCCAGCGTCCACCCCGGGCTGTCCCCGCTCTCATCCAGCCACCTCTCCGCACAGTCATGCACATCTGCGCGGGACAGCGGCTCACAGGCGCTGCCCAAGGACGGTGAGCCCTCGGGGTGCACCTGTGGCCCGCCAGAGACCCCAGTGCCTGGGGAGCAGGGTGACACGTTACTCAGACCCCAAAGCACACTCATTTTCTTAGATAAGTTTCCCAGCGTTACGGTGAAGACCCGGGCACGCCGCTCCTTCCCATTCTGGGGAGAAGCTTCGCCAAATCTCTGGCAAGTGAAGAAACATCGGGTCACCCAAGTGTAGGATGACACTTGTCACTCTCCCAGGACTCTGTGAAGACTGCCCCTGACTCAACGGAATCACTCCTAAAGGCAGTGCCAACCACCTTCTCCAGGTCACCCGCCCACCAGGCGCCGCCGCTGCCGGGAGCAGAGGCCGCCGCCTCCCGGGCGGGCGCCGCACCTGGAAGGAGTCCTCCTTGAACTGCAGCAGGTCCGGGTGGTCGCTGTGCAGGTGGTACGTCCTGCGGGAGGGGTAGGGGTTGGTGTAGGTGATCCGCTTGTTGACGCCCTTCCCTTCACCCACCGCCAACGTGATCTCGAAGGCCTGTGGACAGAAGGGACAGGGGGACGCTGTGGCCAGACTCAGAGGAACAGCCGCTGGCCCTTTCTCCAGTATTTCCTGAGCCTGCTCTGCGCCGCGTGTGCCCCAGACCCAGGGGGCCTCCATGGAGACAGGACAGACAGGCTCTCTGGGGTGTCCAGCCTGGGGGCAGACAGCACAGGAGCAAGCCCCCACTGCCCAGCCAAGCCCCACACAGAACCACAGCCCCACACAGAGCCCCAGCCCACACAGAACTCCAGCCCCCCAGAGAACCCCAGCCCCGCACAGAGCCCCAGCCCACACAGAACCACAACCCCACACAGAGCCCCAGCCCACACAGAACCACATCCCCACACAGAGCCCCAGCCACACAGAACCCCAGCCCACACAG